AAAATTTCTCAATCCATTCCTATATGGAAAAAGTACATTCGGTCCCTCAACTTGTCGTCGAGTTACAAATCGTCCTCTAACCGTTCGCTTTTGATCCTAAGGTGGTTTTAACTCTGGTTTTATCCAACGTGACGGCTGAGTCAGCATGGGCCCTACTTGTCAGGTGCCCACGTCATCACCCTCTCTCTCCCTTCCTCCTCTCACTCTGCTCCGGCCCCAGCCCTTGACCCGTCGCTGCACCCGGGGGTCCGTGTCCGGCAGGTCCACAGCGTGGCCCCTGTCCCGCGGCGGCACCTTCACCGCCCGCGTCGGCCCGGCCAATGTCGACGCCGGCGCAGCCTCCGCCGCTGTCACCACCACGACGGCCGCCGCCACGGCGAACAGCAACAGCAGTGAAACCCTCCTCCGTATTGCAATGTGGCGGGAGATCGATTGGCGGGTAGTACTATGAGGAATCAGTGCGAGTTTGGAGGGAAATTTATAGGAGCCGAATTGGGACAAGATGGGTGGCGGCCGGCGTGTCCGCTCTGCTCACCATCGCCTGTTTGGAATGAGAAAGTTGATGCAGATATGTAAATATGTTTAGAATTCTTTTTGCAGGTGGATGAATTCATCTCGATTTATGCGAAATTCACTAAATATCCTCCTGTTTTCAGAAATAAAAGAATGGATTCAGCAGAGATCACAGACGAAGACAGTTGCAATTTTTGTCGTGTCTGAAATGGATAATGTCGTTCCCTCGAGGAGGACGTGGTCGCTCAACACCTTGTAGCACGCGGCGAGGACGCGCTCCGTCACCTCGGTGCACACCTCGATGCCGTGCTCACCGTCGACGAGGATCTCCGGCCCGACGATGGGGACCAGCCCGTTCTCCTGGCAGATGATGGTGTACCGCGCGACGCCCTGCGCGTTGGTGTTGGCGAGCTGCGACGGCTTGGACGCCGGCTGCGGCGAGCACGGCGACGAAGGGCGTCCCGTCGCGACGAGGACGAGGCTGGGGAGAAGAGCGGCGGCGGCCACCTCCGCGCTCTCCCGCGCGTGGCGGCACCGCTGGGAGTCGCTCCCCTCCGTCGACCTGACCCACAGCCGAGGCGTCGCGGCGTCCGACGTCGACGCGGTCCTCCTCCGGCGCTCCGTCCCCGTCTGCACCTTCCGCCTTGTCGCGCGCGACCCTTCCTGGTTCGTTGGCGTTGGCACGGGGGCAAGGCAGAAAGTTTCCCTCCCGGAGCACGGCCGCCGCCGCCCATCTCCACTCCGGCCGCCCGTCACCCTCCATCACTCCCGCCGGACCTCCTCCTCTCCCCTCCCCCCCCCCCCCCCCGGCGGCGTGCGGAAAGAGGCGAAGAAGAAGGCCGCCACGGTGGCGGCAACGAGGATGCGGATAGCGGCGTTGCCTCCGCCAGCGCGACGCCGGCCGCCGGACCTCCTCCTCTCCCCTCCCCCACGGCAGTTCTCCCCACCCATCGGCCGCCCTGCTGAAGAGCACCGTGAGAGAAAAAGGATGAAGAAAAGGAGGGGAAATACGAGAGAGGTGAACATATGGGATTCACGTGGGTTCCATGCTAACTCAGCCGCCACGTGAAACAAATCCGGAGTCGAAACCACCGAAGGGCGTAAAATGAACGGTTTTGTTAAGTTGAGAGATGTCATATATCTAGTTTTGTGGTTAGGGACGATTTTGTAACTCGATGACAAGTTGAGGGACCTTCGGTGTACTTTTTCCTTCCTATATTAAGATGGCCTAGTAGGCAGTGATCTTGGACCAATAAATTTTCTTCATAGGTAAAGACATCTTGATAAGAGGCCTAATATACAGTGGTCTATGGGCCAAACAATGCCTAGCAACCTGCAACTAGACCTCCACCTTGTCTGTTTTAATGGATCATTCTAATACTTCACACTTCACAGTTTACATCAAACGTTATTCTCAACAACCCCGCCCCCCCCCCCCACCCCCCCCCCTACATATGGAGTAACTTGAGAAATGTTTATATTGTTTTGTTACACCAGACTGTAAAATCTATTTGTTGAAGTCCAAAATATACAACCAGTGTGAATTCAGGTTGGACTGGGCCAAAGGTATGGGCTTCATTTGTGTTATACATTGGCAAATATCACTTCGAAATAACAGCTATAACAATTTTGATTATGTGAGTTAACATGAGGGCTCCTTTATAGCATTAACTCTCCCAACTAGCTAAGGGAAGGATTTAAACTTTTACCACTCTAATTTATAAGGTTTAAGAATATATACTATACTATAGTAACAAAGTATGTTGCATGTTAAATTGCAACCGTACATCTTATCAAAGTCTGATAATTTAACAGTTACTATAAGTGAGTAAAGTTAAAACAGTATTAGTTATTCCCAACATGAACAAGTATCTGAGAACAAATTAAAAGAGATGGTGCCTACAAGATAATAGTATCTGATGTATGATGGCAGTAAGCATTCCGACCATGGTATATGACGGCAAACTAAACACGAGACGAGACCGAGAGAATTAATTTTGTAGTTCAACCAAATGATCAAGTCAAATCCATTTCCTGATGTTTTGTGATACCGTCCACATCTTACCTTCAAATATTGATATATGTCTTGTTACACATCTCAGTGAAATGACACGATTGTACTTGGTCAGCACTGTTAGGCTGCCAAGCATGTGCCTTGTTCAAGGAAGTATCTGTCAGGCCAGCAACCTCCAGCCATGTCCTCTAATGCGCATCTATCTGAAATTCTTGTGCAATCGTGTCAACAATTCTCATGCAACCTGGTTGGCGCCACATCGATTTTCTTCCCTGCATGTGTAGTTCTGTAAACATGAATAAGCCTAAGGCCCTATTCTTTTCTGATTTTGGATTTTTCATTTTCTTTTTCATGTTTTAAAGCTTTAAAACGGTACATTTTCATGTAAAAATTTTCTATATATTATTTAAAATAATTCCTAAATCAAGTCTCAGCTTTATAGTATTTAATTTATTCGTTTATATTCTCAAATAACTAAAAGAAATAAGATTATCCATCAACTTTAGCTATATCAAACGAAGCATTAGTAGAAGAAAAGTTCAGTTTTATACTAGTTCGGAGAAAGCGTGCACTTTGACACCATAACCTTTTTGCATTAATAAGAACAACAAATCCAACCAAATAGGAGTAATTCACACAAGCTTGAAAAATTAACAGTTTAATTTCAAATGATTACCACCAAACCTCGCAAAACTAAACATCAATGTGACTTGCAAGTTGCAAATAATCATACTCCATGTGCTTGTCCCACTATTGAGACAATTGTGAGTTGGTGACCTAGCAGGGACAAGAGCATAAATATAGCTAATTAGCCACACAAACAAGATGGATGACATCGATAGCAATACACGAGATTAAACAACCATTTCCACAACTTGGAAGTAATTAAGAACCAATTGTACTCATCAGCTTCTTCCCTTGACAGGCCAAGAATTCTTCCAGAAAGCCTTAGTTGAAGCAGTAGTAGGGAACTGGTATCTCAACTGGTCAGCTTCAAAGTCAACTGCCGGTGAGTGGCCTATGAAATGGCCAAACCTTTAGAAAACCGAAAAGAGTGCTCCATTTCATTGAACAGTCTGCATGGAAGAAGAAGATTAAGAATATTCTGCACTTTCAGTTGTTCAGTCTTTCAGACACCGTGTGTAAAACGTCATGACACAAATGGGAGAAGCTTCAGAAACCATTGAGGTCCATGTCAACTACCCAGTGGAGCAGAATAGACGCTCTCCATAGGCACAAACATAAGTGACAATTGACATAACATTGGTTCCAATCACTAAAACACATGGTTTCCAGGGAAAATATCTGGCAGAAAACTGGTACTTAAAACAAATAGTCAGTGGTGTCTAAATAGACCAGACATTATCTGTAAGCTATAGTTCCAGCCTTCAAGGGAACTGCCTGAGAACTGTGATACAAGTTGCCCATTTTCTGGTTTGGACAAACATTGTATACCACACAAAGAGAGAAACAAGCATTCCGTTATTAGCTTTAGGTAAGTAATGAATGATCAGTGGCATTGGTGAGGAACAACTAAACTCATCTCCCAACTAGAAACCAAAACACAGGTCCCAAAGGAAACAAACTTGTCACAAGTATGCACACAAAAAAACAAGCAGAAGAATCAAACCTAATATTTGGGGTGAAAAGAATACATTTATTTGATATGTACCAGTAAGACATAGGTGACACCAGGGATGCAAGTATTCCACATATCACCACCCAGGGATATTCAGCAGATGAGAATGTAAAAAAGAATTGGCACCCCCAGGTGTTATTCCTTGAATAAAAGCTCATGTAATGTAGTCCACTTATGCACTTCAAACAGACAATAATAACTTCATTGTTTGTATTATGCTTATGTACAAGAAATACATATTCTCCATGCAATCCAGCACCCTATCAAATCAGCAAGAACATAAGAAAGTATCCGCATTTAGAAGAGACGAAATGAAGAATTAATTTCCATCCCAGTATGGTGACATCTTGAATGAGTGGAGGAGGAATATCCCCTGTACATGAAAATCACAAATCACACACATAATATAAACAGAGCATCACGTTCTTCTGCTACATGGCTTGGTTTTATCATACTTAATAATCAATTTAAAAACAGATGCAAGTGACTTTGACTTAAGAAATTGATGCATCAGTGCCCCTCTTCAAACTAATTTTTTCTCTCAAATACACAGCAGATCTGTGTATCATTATATTAAGAAGAAGAATTAATGGGTAGGAAAACCCTCGCGTACATAACCATCCACACAGTCGCTAAGCTCTTGGGTTACATGTGCGCCTATGATAAAAAGAAAAACAACTATGACCACAAACATAGCCACAACTTCAAACTAAAGTTTTCATCCCAGATGTCATACTTTGATTGATTGCTAACAATAATTGTTTCTTCTTCCTTGAATTGAAGTAATGATTTTTGTTCAGACCTTGAAACAAACATGGGAAGCTAAGATAAACATGAATCAAATTGCAGGTTTTCCATATCTTGTTTCCAAAGAAAAAGGCTACCTAAAATAAGATTGCGCTGTGCTATTGCATCCATCCCTGCTATTAAAAGCAAGAATAAATAATTAAGTATCCTGCCAACATAAACTGGAATTTCTATAAACAAGCCGATCAGGAAGAACAGCATGTTACCATCCCAAAAGACAAAAACATCGGTCGCAACGAACAACATAAATTAATGTAACATACAAACATGAAAGAATGAAGAAGCTAATGGAGCAACCAAAGCATCCAATTCTCATGACTCATAACAACTCACACGCGGCCGCCTCCGGAACATGGAAACAGACAAGCTCCTTGACATAAAAGCACCCATCCGTGCTTTCCACCCCGATGGCCTGCCGCTGCTGCCACAGGAAAGGTCAGGGCCCCCTATCCGATCATCCAAATCGTCCGGCAGGGTGTCGCTACCAGCATTCTCCAGGACACCACTCTCATCCACGCTCCTAGCATCCTGCAATTCACCAGCACCACCTGGCGTGTCAACATTCACAGCAAGGGCTCCGTTGCGGCTAGCCCGAAGCCGCTCAGCACACTCTGGCGTCACTCCCTGACACTTCTTCACCTTCACCTTGACAAGACGTGGGCAGCCTTGAGCGAGCTTATCCATTCCTGCATCAGAAACAGGGCATGCCTTGATGCAGAGCTTCCGCAACGCAGCACATTTCGTCGCGACGCAAGATATCTCGGCATCCCCGAACGTATCAGACCCGCACAGTGCGAGGCGCTCAAGGGCAGGGCAGTTGGCAGCAATCAGTTCGAGACTGGCGGACGTCAAATTCACCCCGATGAGAACCAGTTCTTGCAAAGCAGCGCATTTCTGTGCAACAGCCGCTAGGCCGCGGTCACCAATCCTGTTTGCTTTCCATCCATCGACGTGCAGCTTGCGTAGGCGTGGCGATCTGGTGGCGAGCTTACCCAACCCAACATCTGTAACCTCTGGCGCCTTGGCGAGGTAGAGGACCTCGAGGCCCGACAAGGCAGAGACACCGCGGTCGCTGACCTGCAGCTTCTCGAGATGGAGCTCGGCCAGCATGGCGTCCTGAGGGAGGTCCTGAAGCACGGGATCCCAGTCGCCGGAGCAGCGGATGATCTTGAGCGTTTTGAGGTTGGGCGAGTTGGTGATGAGAGAGGAGAAGCACTGGCCATTGTAGAGCTCCTTGAGGCAGAGGGAATGGAGGCAGAGGCTGGAGACGGCGACGGGCTCGGATTGGGCGAGGCCGCGGAGGCGCTTGATGGAGAGCTCCTCGAGATGGAGGCAGGAGCGGAGGACGGCCTCGATCCCCTTGGCGCCAAAGGTGCACGAGCCGACGGAGAGCTTGCGTAGGTTGGTGGCGGCGGCGGCGAGCGCGGCGACGCCGTCGTCGGTGACGAGACGGATGGAGCGGAGCTTGAGGCGGCGGAGGGCGGGGCCGAGGCGGTCGGCGAGGAGGGCGAGCGTGGGGTCGGCGACGCTCTCAGCGCGGCGGTCGCACTTGAGGGCGAGCTTGGAGACGGCGGGGAAGCGGGCGAGGATCCCCGGGAGGGCGGCGTGGAGCGGCGCCCGCGCGTCGAGGGCGAGGCGGAGGCGCGAGGCGGCGTCGACGGAGAGCCAGCGGCGGCAGACGAGGGAGCAGCGCTTGCGGTCGGCGGAGCCGAGGAGGCCGAAGACGACGGCGAGGAGGTCGTCGGGGAGGTCAGCGGTGTGGTCCTCCGCCGCGGGGGCATCGTCGTCGGGAGTGGGCAGCGGCTGCGGCGGCGCATGGTCGGCGGGGGGTGGGGAGGGAGGAGGAGGGTTGCGGGGTGGGTGGCGATGGTGGTGGTAACGGGGGGCGGAGGGGCACTGGCCCATGGCGACGGCGGCGGCGGATCTGAGAGAGGCGGAGGCGGAGGTGGAGTAGTTGGGGTTGGGTGAGGGGGGAATGGGGGGGCGCCGCGGACGTGAGGACGAGGGCAACCCAAACATTAAATCGGCTTAACTCCTCCCTCTCTCTCTAGACTCTCTCAGTTTCTCTCTCCTTTCGGGGGGCGCACGCGTTTTTTCTTTTATTTTTCTCTTCTCCATCCCTCCTTTCGATGCTATTCAACGCATGCCCGCTAGTTATCCCAACCAGTGGACTGACCAAGACCTGCATCTTGTTTTAAGGGTACTTCCTCCGTTCAATTCACAACATATGTCCCGTAAAGCTTATCATTTTCGTTTGGGAGGGCCATTTCTTATTTGGTTAATTGGATCCTGTTGAAGAAAAATCTGCGTCCGATCAATGGTACCAAGCCTGCGTTGATGCGAACCATATCGACGAACACACAAAGTTCTAGGAGATCTGCTTAATTTCAGTGCAAGTCCTAAACTTGATAAGATGCGAGCGTGCCAATCGATTTGATCCTACTACTGACAAAGATATGTAAACAACCGATCGGCTGACAAGCCGATAGAGAGACAACAACCAATGCCGATGGGGTTTTGAGCAAATGATTGTATGTCCAATGTAGAGTCTGAAACATGAATGATAATGTAAAATAACAATAATATAATTTAGTAGAAACCAATTGGCCAATAATGATATGATAGAATAAGCGCCGATCCGCGGTTAAAGTATACATCGGCTGAAGGTCCGATGTCGTTAAATCCAAACGATTAGATAAACAGTAAAATCTTTGTTGCGATCGGCTTGCATATAATCCTTATAAGTCGATGCAACATCCAGATAACTCATCAGCTGAAACTCTGATGAAACCCTTATTGGCAATCAAAAACAGGCTAGAGATTATGGATCTAAGCACGACTTAGTAGGTCAAACCCAATTCATGCAGTAGTAAGTATGAAAAGAAACATAATATCTAGACCCTAAGCCTTTGACTGATTTTCAGGGTGGTCGATGAAATGATTTAACTACTATCAACAAAACCCTAGAGAAGATCCGGCCGATACAGGCAAACTGAAACATCGACTCAAATTAATTAAGATATATAATAAATAAGTGTTTAAATCGACAAGATTAGAGTGTCGATACCTTAGCCCTACCGATGGAAATAGCCATAACAAGTGTTACCCCTCATCGGATATTGAAGCCGATGCAGCCCAACTCGAAACAATAACTCATCGAGAAAGACGAAAATAAAAAGGGTGGTGATGTGTCGAAGCTGTATTGATCGACAGATAGATTATAGTGACCCTGGATGTACATATTTATACTCATGGGTATATAGTAGTCCTTATCGGACACGACACATATTTCCTAAAGATGAAAGGAAAGATACAAGTCCTGATCGGACACTAAATAAACAATTCCTAAAGATAAAAGGAAACTAACTGACTATGCCTAATTAATAGATAAATTTAAGCTGCCATTTTGTGGTCTTCATGACTCCCTCTCGAACTCGGTCTCTTCTGAATAAGTTTTCCTTAACTGAATCCACTAAAAATTACCAAATTTTGGTGTTAACACATACCTCCCAGGTATTTTGGAGTATGGGAACTCATGCTTCAAAAATCTCTTCTGCCTTGCCTTGATTACTTCAAAATTGATCCTTTGTTGCTTCTTGTCTTGGCTCTCATAAACCAATACTGTCTGCATTAGATGAACCAGACTGTCAAACTCATGGCGAAAGAATTTGTCATTGATAAGTGCTGACAATCCTTGAAATGCAAGATCTGCTAACTGCTCATCACTTAGACTTAAACTACAACATCGGCTGCGAACATTACAAAATCTTTGAATATATTACATAGTCGATTCTCCCTCTTGCTGCTCAACCGATATTAAGTCTAAGGGGATGTTTGGTTCATGGCCACACTTTACCACACCACACTTTTGGCTGCCATTGTTTGTTAGGCATGTGTTTGATTCACTGCCACAGTTATGGCTGGCCACACTTTTTTCAATAGCATGTCTCACATGTCATATACTCATTTTTTTGCCACATTTGCCACACTTTATGGCTACCAATTTGTCCACCACACTTTTGTGATTGCCACAACTTGCCTAACGTTAGTTGTGGCAAAGTGTGGCCGGCAACCAAACACACCCTAAAAGCTTCATCTCATTGATTCTAGCAAAAAAAAATTCATGGAATTGCTTTTCAAGATCGGCCCATCCTCTAACCGAATTTGATGGTAATGATGAAAACCATATAAAAGCCGATCCAGTCAGAGACAATGGAAAAAAAATCTAACTTTCAGAACCTCTTCAGCCGATGTTTCTCCACATTGTGCTAAGAATCGGCTGATATGTTCCAATTTAGGCATATCATCTTGCCATGAAAACTTGGAGAAATCTGGAACCTTGTCAAACCACTCAGGATATGACAGCCGATACACAAAAATTTGCTACTTTGACTTAAGTCCAAACTGCTACTATACTAACTTTGCAATTCTATTGGCCAAATCATTGTTATATTAATACTCTTTATTAATGAAATTCTTCTGGCCGATATTGAAATGACTCATCATGCTGATATTGATTTTCTTGTCCCTCGTGCTGATTCTGTTGTTGCCGATGATTATGAAGATGCTCATCGATTTGCACCCCAAGTTAAATTCTTTGAGAAATTAATTCATCAAATTTTTCCTTGATCAAATTCTACAATGTATTCATCAAAACTCTTGATTGATCAGAAAATGCACGATGAACTGCTTCATCAATTGTATCTTGACGTGTTTCAACCAACGGCTTGGGAAACTGAACCTTCTTGGCATTGACTTCCTCTTCAGACATGTTGGTACAAAATGTGTGTCCCGTTAGACGTGCCAAAAGGGTGTTAACGAAAAATCCATGTCCGGCAGATTGTACCAACTCTGCGTTGACGCGAACCGTGTCAATGAACATACGAAGGCCTGGGAGATCTGCTTAACTCTAGTGAAGGTTCTAAAATTAATGAGATGTGGGCGTGCCAGTCAGTTTGATCCTGCACCTGACAAGATATGTAAGCAACAGATCAAACAATCGATCAGTTGAGAAGCCAATATAGCGATACTAGTAGATGTAGCCCAACTCGAAACAAGAACTCATCGAGAAAGACGAAAATAAAAAGGGTGGCAATGCGCCGAAGTTCTATTGATTGAGAGATAGATTATAGGGACCCCGGATATACATATTTATACCCATGGGTAGATAGTAGTCCATATCGGACACCACATATTTCCCAAAGATAAAAGGAAAGATACAAGTCCTGATCGGACACTAAATAAACACTTCCTAAAGATAAAAGGAAACTAACTGACTCTGCCTAATTTATAGATAAATTCAAGCTGCCATGTTGTGGTCTTCATGATTTCCTCTCGAACTCGGTCTCTTCTGGATAAGCTTTCTGTTGGCTAATTGTGCTCTTTCCTTAACCGAACCCACTAAAGAATCTTACCAAATTTTGGTGTTAACACATATCCCCTTATTTTGGAGTATGAGAATTCATGCTTCAAAATTCTCTTCTGTCTTGCCTTCATTACTTCAAAATTGATCATCCGTTGCTTCTTGCCATCAGCTCTCACAAGACGATACTATCTACATTAGATGAACTAGACTATCAAACTCAGGAAGGAAGAATTTGTCCTTGGTAGGTGCTGACAATCCTTGAAATGAAAGATCCGCTAGAATGGCTTTCGTTCTTTCATAACTTGACATTTTTTACATTACATCAAGATATGATAATGAAATTATAATGTTGTGAATTCGTTTTTAAATATCTAGCTAGAGAACAAATAAGGATATAATTCTCATGTAAAAGTCTAGATAGTTTCTTTTCTGGCGAGAAAAGTATCCTCCCTTCCTTTCATAACATCTGGCAATTTTGACTAACACTTGCTCTAGTTTGACCACTAACATCATTTAAAATCATTTGATTATGAAGAATGAGATTTATATGTTCATATTTACAGTGTATCAAACTTCAATTACATGATATATCTTTTAAAATACCTATGAGTTTATTTCTAAAATAGGAGCGGTAAACTAAAATTAGGCAAATTTTTTGAAAGGAAAAAATAAGGCAAATTCAAAATTGCCAAGTACTATGTGTCGACGGGGGATACCCACAGACTGGATAAATGGGGTACTGGGGTACGTTGGTACACGGATCTACACGATACGACATCTAAACAGACAAGAGATAAGGATTATACTGGTTCAGGCCCCTCGTAAGGTAATACCCTTAATCTAGTTTATATGGAATAGATATGGAAGACCATGGAATACAAAGGGAACCAATGAATCCGACAATACCGGCGAGATCCTTGTCGAGATTGGTCGACGAGATCTCCCGGCGGCTTCGGCTTGAATCCTTCGGCTTCGTAAACTATGGCGAGTGTGTTGGTGCTATGATTCGATGATCCTAAACCCCTCCAGGGGTACGTCTTTTATACCGTGAGTTGCCTTAGTCTCCCAGTGAAACTCGGAGACAACGAACCCTATACGATATAGAATAGTCCCATTCCTCTCCGAGTGGGACTCTAATAATCTCCAGCCCGTGAGGATATTTTCCATGTTATCTCGTATATTTCCTTATTGCATACGAAAACATATCGCAAGATATGAGGTATGCCAATCTGGTATATTTGGAAAATCGTAGGATAGGAGGTATGCCTTATCCGTAACCCTGACACTATGAAAATGGCCTTGTCGCCATGGCTGCAAAGTTTTGAACATATTATCGGTTGAATTCGTTGTATGACATTGAACAATAAACAATTTGGGCAACACCAGCTTTGCTTTGTGGCTCACATGTAATGGTTGTGGAATCCTTTCCTGTATGGATGCTGGCCCCCCAAACTATAAGGGTCAATTGGATCCTTATCACTGCAACTTTACCCAATTAAAAAAATACCACTACTATTCACGATATCGGCTGGGTGCCATCAGTATTTTGTAAAAATTTAACCATGCCATTATATACGTCTCGAATGAAGTTGGAAATGGTTTTTGCATTTTCGTACAGACCAAAATGCCTCCAGCTCTTAAAGTCTCGTA